ATTCATAGCAGTCAAGTAATACAGAAATTACATTTCTTTTTATGATCTTTCTCCTTTATATTAAAAATCCAGCAGGTATGTCCACTGCAAGGTTTTTGTTCTGGTTTAGGTTTGCCGTTGTCAGGTAATGCCTGTTGCATCACTTGCTGTGCATGAGCAAGTGAAATCTAGCATTACTGGTAAACTTCTCTCTTTTGCATATGGATCAAGTGTTCTGTGACTTTTTTTTCCTGATGCTTCGTAAGGTTTATAGTTTGACCTTTGAATTTCTGAGAGCAAGTGATCAAGAATCTCTAGTTTAGGTCCAAAAAAAATATTAGAAAAGAAAATATTTTGCCATGGAAAAGTATCACTCCAGTGAGTTGAAAGCATTCTTCATTTGAGTAGCTCAAACAATATAGTTACTCTGTTACTGTGAATGAAATTGTTTCTCATTTTAAGTGGTCTTTTAAACAGTCATATTTTTTTTAAAATTGACAACTACCAGGTGATACAGCTGAAGGGCTATATTTAATAACTTGCCCTGGTTAACAGGAACAGTGGTAAGTGCCTGTATGTTTAGATAGAACATTTAATGTACATTAGAGCAGAATTCCCCCACACGCCAAAAACTCAAAACGCTCACTACTCTTGTAGCATTCAAATACTTAAGAAAGAGCACAAAATAAATCAATGTTCTTGCTTTCCTTAAACATTATAATTTATGCTTGCCTGTTTTCAGTGGCTCTTGTTAAAAGAGTTCCTGGAGTTCCTGGGGAAGTCTTCCTGCTGTTGATGACCACGGGAGTGAGTTTGATTTGCTCCAGAGCTAGCTGATATGGAAGCTGTGCTACTAAAGATCGTTGACTCTCTTGGCAGCAATTTGGCAGATCATTCTCATTTTCATCCCTCTGGAAAGACCATGCTTTGCAATGATGAGCTCTGAGAGGATAACAACAGGCCTAATGGTTAAGTCTGTAAATTATGTGCTTCAAGGGCCTGCCTGTTTTCCTACCATGATTTATTTTCTAAAGTATGTTCTGACTTAAATACAGGTAGATTAGTGACAAGAAGAGTTGTCTTGGTGTTTTTATTCCAAATACTGGATTGCTAGAGAGACTTGTGTCTGAATTTATATGGAGCAAAGTGTTTCTAAAATGATTGTGATGGTTGAGGAAGAAGGTCCATTTTTTTACAGGTTATTGCTTTAAGCTGGCCACTTTGGATGTCCAACTATATTCTGTAAGGTATTAGAAAGCTCTTAGAGCTTCCCTTCATACTTTCCTCATTAGATACGGTTGCCATTAGAAGCCCTTCTGAAGTGCTGTTTTTCTCCATCAGCGTGTGGCTGAATCTGAGGAAGACCAATCTGTCGTACCGTTACTGCTTCCCTGATGCCACACATGAGCTTATGAATTTGTATCAGCGTTTCTCAGCAGAGAGAGTTCTGCAGCTGCAGTTCTCTGGTGTCATTCCTTCGTTAAATTCGTTCCATTTGCTAAGCCACGACAGTGTTCATACTACTGTTTATCTTTCTCAGATCTTCAGTGTCTTGATTAAATATCCCTGGACTGGTACATGAGTCTGCGCTCCGTCCTTTGTAATTTTGGAAGTCAGCAAAAGTGGGAATTAAGTTGCACCAACAAACTCTTTCTAGAAGATTTTGAGATCATGAGATTATGGACTTATAATTTTTCCTATTATTCTGAGCATGCGATGGTAGCACTCTGGAGATACACGCCCTCAGTGATTTCTTTCCCTGCTGCAGACATACTTGTATTATGAAATATTTGGAAAAAATAGTATTTTTAGATTTTTAAAAGCATGTTTCTAGAAGCTTCCACACAAAAAAAATTATACTCTCTAACAGGAAGAATAATCTATTCATTAAAGCACCTGGTCTCACTCCAGGTTTGGCAAGTATTTCTAGGCTGGAAACTGGAAAGTTCTTGGCAAAGAATCCTGCAAGTTCAGATCAGAAAAGATGTTGCTTAACTTTATTCCCCAATTATTAATGTTGGCAATTGAAATGTAAATCATCTTATACTGTATGTTTAGAAATGAATTCAGTGTCTTAGTGTTGGAAAGCACAAGTGAGCATCAAACTCATTTTTGTTCTCTCTAAATTGTAAGGTTTCGTAGCGGTTGATCTTTTAGTAGTTACAATATATTTCAAGTATCCTTTGTGCACTTTTAGTCCAGGTCGTACCATTACCTTTTAGCAGACCAGCAGCAATCCGTTCAATATCTCTGCTGTCTCCTGAAAGGACTCTCCTGCTGCCACTCTCCCTGGAATGTTTCAGCACTTCAATTTTATTGTCTTTCTCCTTAAAAAGTTATAGAAAGCCAAATAGGAGAGAACTTCAACTTTGGACAAGCACGAGCAGTCCATACACAGAGTTGGACAAGACATCTGGCTTTTCAGTAATCATCTTGAGTCACTTTTTGCAAGTCATTTTGCCTATTTCTGATGCTGTTTCACTTTCCATGTTGAGGTTTGCTGTCCATGGCACTAGACTGAGCTGCCTGGAGAGTAATCTTTTGCTTAGTGTTGATGTTTTTATAATTGCCAAAATAGAGGTTAAACTTTCTGGTGCAAGAATCTCCCTTAAGAGAGGACTCTCTCCTTTGCCTTAGAATGAAGATAACAGTTCTAGAGAAATGTTCATGCTGCTAGATTATTTTGAAATGAAAGGCAAAGCTGCTATTTGTCCTAGCCTTTCCTTTGCAAAAAAACTTTTTTAAAAAAAAAAAGAAGCCCAAGGGGAGGGCGATTTCTCACACAAATGTGCACAAAACCCCCAACATTCCAGCAACTGTCTGGGGAGTAGGATGAAATGTGCTCTGATGTCGATCCCCTTCTGCTGTTAGCTCATTTTTGAGAGACGCTTTGACACTATAATATAGGGTTGCAAATTGGAATTGCAACACCCTGCTATTGGGCCAAGTGATGAAGCAGCACAATAACTGCTTGCTTGATCTTACCACTCTTTCTTTAATGTGTACGTAAAAGATATCGGGAGCCTTTCCAGGCATCTGTCAGGGTATTTGATGCTGTCACACAGGCAACTTCAGTCTGTGTGTGGTTAGTGTGTGTGTGTGAGTTTTACCAGTATTTTATATAAATGTGGTAACTACAGGGCAAAGTTTCAGGTTTTATAACAGTTGAGTTTTGTTTATTATTAAAAGCTTATAAAAATACTAATTAAACTGGTGGATTATTACAGAGAATACAGTTCTTATGCTCTTGTCACAGGAGTTTCATAGGTAATTGGTCTTGACCTGTATGTCGTCTTTAATATTTCATTTGCTCCAGAGTATTATTACTCACTTCCTTTAAGATGATAGCTAGGCTTTTTATGCAGCTAAACTTCTGTTTAACCTTGCTATGAGAATGTGACAGTAGGCTAGTTCAGACAGGTTAACATTCATTTGGTAACCAGCCTGCTTAATCAGCCTGCTTCAACCTGCAGCAAATTAAATCTCTGTGAGTTCTAGCAGACAAGTGATAAAGTCATTCTGAATTATGTATAAAAATAAATGGGGTATTTTCAGTGCTCATGGCAGTAAATGAATTTTAAGGCTTATGATTTATTCTTGGGTTTTTGTTAAGAATGACTGCAATTTATTATACCTTAATGTTTTTACAGTCTAATTAGGAGGATGATTTCTGAAATACATCATGTCTCTCATTCTGTGCCTGGCAAAAATAGTAGTCATTTTTACAGGATCTAGAAAATCTCTTTCTGTCCTCTCTGTGTTTCTTCTGAAGGAACCATTCAAATCCATATTTTGAACATACAGCCAGGTCTATCTGACTATCTTTCTCCGCATCACTAAGAATTGTACACCATCAAATATTTTCTCAGGTCCAGGTTCTGCAAGAACTTGATTTGTTGCCAAAATGAATTGGCTATCTTCATTTAAAAGCTATTTGCGTTGTAAATTTACCCCAGGTGTTATCAAGATAGGGCTTAGGTGCTTCTGAAGATTCTACTTGTGGTCATCAACCTCACTTGACCAGGACTGATGTGCTTTCCAGAAGAGTGTAGAAGGCAGGGTGTACGCTGACATGATACAAAGAAATGCGTGAAGGGTGCTTGAAATGGCAAGGAGAGCTCAGACGGTTCTGATCATAGAAAGGTGGACAATTCACATTTTCAGTCGTATTGATTAATACATTTTTTAAATGCAATGTAGGATCAGATCTTCAAATATTATTGTTATGTGTTTGCAGGCACCTAGTAATTTTTTCTTTCAAACAATACTAGTTTTTTTCCATTTGCTGACTCATTAATTTTGAAAAGTTGAAGTTTAGGCACACAGCAGCAGGCAAAAGTGCTGTTTCTGTTGGCACTGGTAAATCATAGAATCACGAACATCTATCCTGTCTGCTGACTGCAATTTCACCAGCATTGCTGGGTTTGTGGGTGTCCTTGTCCATATGAGCAGTGTGGCATGTGCCTTTGAGGTTAATAACGACCAACATGAAGATTAAATGTATTTTTTAAATAGCCACTTGTGTCTTTTACAAAGTCAGGCAAGAAACTGTTCTTGCAAGATAATTATTTTTTTCCCAAGATGACTTAACTATTTTTAATTAGTTGTATCAGTACCTATCATCTTTACTTTAACATTTGCTTATTGATGAGGAAGAAAAAATTTACCTTTACTTCATAAAGACATACCACTATAAAAGTTGTCATGTACAAATCATGGTTTGAAATTCAGTACTGACTCAGGAGAAAATGGCCATTCAAGACAGTTTTGAGTTTCCAGTTCCATTTAGTCTGTTTTGATACTCTGTGCCTACATACCTGTACAACTCTGTTGTTGTATCTTTGAATATTTTTACGTAAGCAATCATTTTAGTTTTCCAGGCTTCTTTCTTTATGTTTGTATAATTAATTTGGTCTTCTGCAGTGCAGTCTTCAGTTCAAATCTCAAAAGCACCCTTAAAAAAACCCCCAACCCTCAGCTGAGACTCAAGCTTTAATAAACGATCATTGCTTTGTTTGTAGATGATGCTAGCTGTTTCGGGACTGACTTTTCCTTGCCATCGACTTACAGTTGGAAGAAGATCTTCACCCGTACAAACGAGGGAACAGTCAGAGGAGGTAAGAACATCGTCTTTATTTTACAAGGGTACTCAAGGAAGAAGCAAGGAAAGCTCATTTTGCCATGGTCACTGTCCCTTCTGTTGTCAAAATACGTCAGTAGAATTGCATCTTTAAAGAATCAGTTTACAATTCCTATAAAATGTAATTGTGACAAAGTAAGGAACTGGGTAAATGAGTCATTGAAGAAAAAGAGGGAAAACAAAGTAAGCAAGCCACAAGCATTGAAAAATACTCCAAATTAAATAGAAGGCTGAAACATATATTTTTAGTATTAGCAGAAAAAGATGTTTGCAGACGGTATAAACTCATGTTTTCTTGTTTCTAACTATTAATGGTTTGGGTTAAAATTTCCAATTCCTTTGCTCTTCCTCAAAATTAATTTAATATAAGCAGTTTCCCATTTTCCACACACTTTTCTTAACATTTTATTTAGAGAACTTTAGCAAATAAGGTTTATCTTGCGCAAAAAGGGTGTGCTTCAGTCTGCTCAGCTCATTTGAGTTGGCAAGACATAGCTGTGAGGTACGGTCAGGATACAAGCCTGCATAAATGCTGTTGGACAGTTGTTAAAAGTTAGAGGATGGTCAGACAATGCTGTTCTAGCTATATCTGAACCACTTAGCAGGTTAAATAGATGATCATTGTTTTCTCCTGGGATCTACCAGAATAGTTATGTATCCTTCCTTCTTTACTTCATGCCTTCAAAATGATCCGATTGAGTATGTTCACCTTGTAGAATTTTCTTTTTGTCTAGTTCATTCAGTAAATGTTCTTTATGTGAAGTTTTTTGTGTGTGCCTGTTGTAGAGGGAGATCCAGCGTGTCTGGAGCTCTTTGCTCTTCTCGTGGTCACTCGCATGCTAGAGCTGAAATTTCACATTCTGTAATACACTTCCACCTTTAGGGACTGATGTAGATTTTCTGGAGTTTACTATCACCATAACTTCTAGGTTAAGTGGAGCTGGAATAGTTGTCATGAACAGAAGTCAATTTAGAGGCAAGTTAACACTGAATAGTTAAGCCCAAGGGAAAGTTTTTCTAAGCTATTCTGTTTCAGAGGACATGAAATCCAAAAGATGTGATGGTGGGAGTTGGAGCCACAGATGGAACCTTAGCTCCTTGCACAAAATTGTTGATTTTTCTTCTTTATAGTGGTATGCCTGTCATTCAACATGCAGTAGCCTGGCGTGACAAGTTAGGACTACGGGTACTAAATTTGTATGTCAGACATTGGAATACAACAGATAGGTGCCTTTCCCAGGACTGGCCCCCATAGTGCAAGTATTGCTAAAGTAGGTTGTATCTGGATGTCTAAACTTATTGATCGATTGTGTGACTTTTATCACTCTTTCTTATGCAGTTGAACAAGCTGTAGTACAATTAGATGGAAAATAGCATTAACTTTGGATAAAATTTGCTCAACTATGTGTATACAAACCCAGTTCCTTGGTTTAATAATTTCATAATGTGGTTTGTCACACAATATTGCTCTGTCAACCAGACTTCTGTTAAAAATTAGGTCTTATTTCTAAGAAGCAGTCTAATAATGCTGTAAAAAAATAGTAAAGTAAAATGCAGTATATTGAGTGTTTTTATAGAAACATGGAAGTTTTTTTCACTACGTATGTATTTTGTATTTCATTGAAGATGATGTCTAATGGCTTATGGTCGATTTTGGGTTTTGTTTTTAAACAGCAATGCACTGATGTTCATATGGTTAGTGACAGTGATGGAGATGACTTTGAAGATGCTACAGAGTTTGGAGTTGATGACGGAGAAATGTTTGGAGTAGCATCGTCTGCCTTGAGGAAATCGCCAATGAGTAAGAGTTGACAATTTACAATTAACGGGTGATTGTGCAGCAGTAGTGAAGGCAGAGCGGTATGGTGGGTCTGCAGAATAAGAAACAGGAAAGTATCTTTTGATAGGAATGTTAGAATTGAGTGTCATGTCTGACGGACCTATCAAATGAAAATACTGCAAATGCAGTTGGCAGCTATGAAAGTGTCTCCTCACAGAGGAAGTTTTTTAACCTTATGATTTTGGCTTGTAGTTGAAGAATAATAATTTCACTCAGAGAAATTATGATCTCTAACCAAATGTTCCTGTAGATAACTAGATTTCCACTTCCCTGTCTTGAAAATTCTACAGATTTTAGCTTCAGCATTTTGTAGCGATGAATATTTTTAGTCATTTACATTAAACAAGTTTCTCAGTGATTATTTGCCCTTGAATTATGAAAAGGATTGAGCAGAAGCAGTCAGTTACCTCCTATATGCAATTCTATATGGTCTTTATTTACTTTAGGCTTGCATTAGTGTTGTTACCTTAGAAGTTTTTTGACAGCAAATGTATGTAATAATACGGACAACTTTTTAGCAGGAAGCTTAAAAAAAAGAAAAAGAAAATAAAATTAACTAGCAATATAGCCAGTCCTTTCATTTTAATGTATTAAAGTAAGTCCAGAGTGTTAACTCTGAACAAGTGATATATCATGTTACACTGGACCTGAGGATTTTACTGTTTGGAAAGCCTGAATATATTCATGAGAGTGTCTGGAAATTTCATGTCTCTCCAAAGGTTTATAGTTGATAGTCTTTCATGGAATTTATATGGTTCTCCCGGTAACCACTTCACTAAGCTGTCAACATAAAAAAATCTATGAAGCAAGTGAGTTCGCACATTAAAATCTGTTTCCATAAGGTTGCATTTAATTTATATTTTTCATTTTTTAAGTGCCAGAAAATGCTGAAAATGAAGGAGATGCCTTATTACAATTTACAGCTGAGTTTTCTTCAAGGTAAGCTTAGCCTATTAACTGTGCAATTCTCATTACAAACTAAATAAAATTTAGTAAATAATGAAAATACAAATAAATCAAATGTACATATTTTCTTGTGGGATCACAGCATACTTAGGCATCCTAATCTAATTTATTTTAAGCTTAACTTTGTTAGAACTATTTCTGAAATAAAGTGTTTCTCAGTCCAAGTTAGAGGGACAGATTCTTGTCTTATTTAATTTGCCACTAATTAATATCATTACTTAATTATGTAAGGGTCCAGAAGGATGATAAAGACTCTGATTATGTATAGTAATTTTAATTTTATATACAGAAACAGAAAAGCTGAAGCTGATTAACTTTGAAAAATATGTACAGAGTTCCAATAAGAGTTTTCACAGTAATGGAGTAGTTGGATAAATTTTACTTTTAAAAATTATAGAAACACTGCTTTTATTTAACTGTGTACCACCAAATCATACAATGTTAAACAGTTCCCATGTGACATCAAATAGATAGAAGCTGCAAACTAATACACTGCAAAGTAATGCAAAGTTTATATGCTTTCTGTTTTCACTCCCCTGTCATGAAATGTTCATTTATATATATGAGATGCATTAATGTGTAATACAAGAATAGCCTTCAATTAACCTTTAAGAATATAATAAAGAGAGGAAATAAGTTATGATTGAAAAATTATATAGAACCTAAGGGGCATGTAAACAAAGTTTTTTATGATAAAATTTGTAAGGTGGCAGTTAGGTACTTTGCACTTTTGAATGTTGGGGGATAGATGGCTTTTAAAGGACAGAAGGGAAATATTTAGAAGTGTAGTACTTCATCTTTCTAAAAGTTTAGCAATTGCATTATATTTACAGAATATATGAAGAGGTAGAATATTGAAATTACTTATTTTTTATTAATTGGAAATTTTATCTCAAATAGATATGGTGACTGCCATCCTGTTTATTTTATTGGATCGTTAGAGGCTGCTTTTCAAGAAGCCTTCTATGGGAAAGCTAGAGATGTAAGTGTGTATTGAAATAACTTTATTTAATATACGGGAAAATGGAAATCACTGTAAGAGTTTAATATTTGTTTTAAAAAAGGTAAACTACATTTTGGAGTTATCTTGGGTTTATTGTTTGTGAAGAGTCATTAGTTGACTAACTGAAATACTTAGCTTGGTTGTTGAAGTTACAGTAAATAACTCAGGCTTTCTAATAACTCAGGCTGTATTTTTATTGGAGGCCTGTAGTCATCAGAGCTGCTCTTTCTCTTCCCCTCCCTTTCTTCCTGAAATAATGGTGTCCTAGCACCACGTAACACTGGCTGCGAGTCTTGTGGTTGACAAGTTCAATGTTGCATGTTGGTGACTCCTTTGAAGGACTGAAGGACTGCTAATGAAATTGTAAATTTAAATTGAAAGGTCTCTGAAATACACTGTGCTTTTTTTTTTTTTTTTTCCTTTGCACAGCCTTTATCTGCCAAGCAAATTCCAGTACTAAGGTTTGGTTATTTAGATTTTCTGTACATCCAACCAGACATCTCAAGTTTCTGTTATTCCATTCACGGTTTTAAAATCAGTATTTTAATAAAATTAGAATGGGGATAGTTTATTTAAGTTTTGGTGACTTGAATTCACTAAGGAGAAACCCAAACCCCTGCATAATTAAGCATAGATAAAGCTGAAACACAAACAAGAAAATCATGCTGTTTAAATGTGCTTTTTGTTGTATTGATAGATGTTTAATTTTAAAATGAAGAATGTTTTGGCTTCCTGTAGTTATTCATATTGGAAGGAACAGCTATGTTATGTTAGGGGCAGTTCTGAGAAGTGTGCAGCGTTAGGAATCTACACCACCTAGCTTAAATTAACACATACTTAACATGTTGTGCGCACACACCACCATGATGTGAATATTTTCGTGTCTTTGCGCTGATTTCAGAGCAGAACTGGATACATAATAATTCAGTGGCGAAGTATTAATTTATAATAACTCATTAAAGTAGACCTTAATGCTTGTTTAAAAGAAATAATATTAATTCATTAATTCAAGTGTTTGAGTTGGGAAGTTCACTTTGTGCCATTTCATCGGAAATGGTTGACAGTGTATAATAACGGATAAAAGTTCCCATTAGGAACTTTCATAAATTTTTTTTTATATCTATAAATCTGATATTAATGCAGTGCAGTTACTTAGGTTTTTAATGCTCAAAGTACTACTTATACTACTTACATAGCACATCTGAAGCTTGTGTCATCTTACATTTCTAGTGCTTTGCAAGGTATTCAGACCAGATCCTCATTAGGATAAAGTTATATTTTTAAGAAAGTGGTATTTTTGTGGCTTCTTTCTTTTTTTCCTAAATATTGCCTTCATTTTTGAAAGCTTTCCCTCCCAACTACCCTGTGGAATGACTTTATTTTTATTGTAACGTTCTGACTTTAAACAAAGGTATGAGAATGTGTAAATACCGTTTATTTTTACTGCTTTTTCCTGTTACAAACAAGTCTTTTTTCAGTACTGCCTCCTGGAATTCATAATTGAGGAAAGAGATACATTATTTTATTTTTTTTTATAATTGTATTTTCTAAAATAATTCAATATGTATATCAGTATAAGAAAAAAAGCTTAGGAGAAATTCCAACCTGTATATCTTGTCTTCTAATTTATACTATGGAGGGCACTTAATTTTACCAGGGCAACAGATGAGCTTCAGGCACCAGCATTCTTCACTTGAAGTGAGAAATTGAGTTCCAAGAGTAAATAAAAACAAGATTGAAGGTTTAAATCCTCTGCTAGGCTTTTTGAACTTATATACTCATTAAATGTTTATTGGAGTGGTGGGATTACGAAGGATTTGGGTAGCTTCATCAACTGGTATATACTTAATCACTAAGTAAAACACTACATTTGATAGAGTGTTTCTCACGATGCCACACTCAATCCATCTTAATGAAACCTGCTTCAAACTGATTTAATTTGAGAGCACTTGGCAGCTTGAGTGCTCAGAGACCTTAGCCTTTTCTTGACAAATTCTCAGCGCTGTCCAGAGCAGAAGGTACACTCTTCAGTTCAGGTCTAGTGAGACAGCCATCAGCTACATTTTTAATCTATATTGTGGATACTTTTTCCCTCAATAGAAAAAAATATCCCACTATATATGAACTTGAAGCCTTTTTGCAGAAATGTTTTAATTTGGGTTAAGAAAATTAATTTATGTCAGAACATGTGTTTTAATCACAGATTATGGGTTAAAATTCTTTTTAAGAAAATGGATGTTGTTCTGTTAAATCTAAATGTCTTTTTGTGTGTTGGAAAGGCTGGTAATTCATAGTTGTTTAAGAAAATATTAACTTAAAAAAGAAACACCTTGTAAAAAAAGTTTTAGATTTTTGTCTGTTACCTATGTTTCGTTTAGCTTTTATTATCATAGCTTTTCATTTTGAGTCTTTCGATAGTTAAGATTAACATACATGATGGGTATCTTTTCCTTTAGAGCAACTGCTACCATGATAGTGCCAGTTTTAGGTAGGAGAGATGGAGTTGAGGTCAAATGTAGCTCTACTTTAAAACCTATATATGTCTTTAGCACAAAAATACACTAGCCAAGATATAGAGCTTTGCCTGTAAGAACCGATGTCCTTGGCAATGAAATCCCCAGTTATCTCCTGCAGCCTGATAGCCAAGGGCATTGTGTGTTCATTTCCAAGGCTTATTGAATATATAACACAATCTTTTTTTTTTTTTTTTAATAGGGTCAGGAAGAGACAGACAGAGGTTTATTAAATTAATAAATAAGTTGTTCTTTTGTGAACGTCTTTCTCTACTATTGTGTCAGCTGGAAAGAAGCATTTCTCTGTTACGTTAGTTTATGAAGAAGAAGCTTACTCTTGCTTAAGTATCTACACTATCATAGAAATAGCTAGAGGTGATGCCATGGAAGAAATCTTATAATGGACAGTTTTAAACAAGATGTTTGGGGGAAGTTTCTTTGTGACTGAAAGCAGTTTGTGGGTGCCTTGTGTTCTGAAACATCAGGGGGTTTATCCTAACTTAGGGCGGTATTGTTATTAATACAGGATCTTAATTGCTATATTGAATCTCACTGAGCTATTTACTTGAATAATTCTTAAGTATTTTCTTTTATTGGAGCTTGCTTGCCTTTTCATTTTTATAGGTGGTTGCTACTCTTTTTTTATGAGAAAGAATAAAGACATCTGCTTTACCTTTTCCGGAGCTCTTATCTTTATATACCTCTGTCAGATCACCTCGTGCTCCTCTCTCAACCTTTCTGTCCGCTGACTTTTAATAAATATCTGAAACATCTCTCTTAGCACAGATTGGTCTTGTCACCTCAATATATATTGCTGCATGCTGAAAATGAACCATGTTTTTCTTCTAGAATTCTGGTTTTTAGGTTCAGTGTAGTGGCAGCACCATCCCTCTCACATATAGGTACTTTATTTCCTGAATACCTGGAAGAAAGTATGCTCCTTCCATGACTTGTCATGTTCAAATAAAAGCTTTTTTCTTTTTTCTTTTTTTTTTTTCCTAGTTGTAGCAGAATATTCCTTCATACAGGGCTTTCTGTAGTATCTTTTTTATCTCTGTAACTCAGAAAATTGTCCCTTGTTATTATTTCAGCTAATTAGGTTCATGCTGAACTTAATACAGAAAAAAGATTTGCAGACATAATTATTCTGATTTGTGTTAGAGCATATAATAGAAACAGCATTGACTGCTCTCCAATCTTCTTGTCTCGGAAGAGAAATTTGAAGTTTTTCCTTTAGATGCTGTCTTGAGTAGATTTGGGTAGTTATTCTGAATCCCAATAGCAGGATGGCTTTTTGGTTTAGTCTTTGTAATCTTTTTTTCCCTTTTTTTAGTCCTGGGTATGGGTGTCTCTTCAGCATTCTCTGTACTTGATATCAAATGATGAAAGTTTATTGAAATTGTCTGCCACACTCTACGTTTCTTCCTCTTTCAAAGCCTATAATTTGTAGATCTTGTTTGAGTTTGGTTTTATTTACTGGATATTCTTTGCATTATGTAAGGTATCACTACAAGCTCAATTGATTGAAACAGAGATACAACAGTATAGTAGGGTCAAATATTTGGAAGATGAAAGTAGACTAACTCAAGCTTAAAATAAAACACGGCTCTACCTGGGAGAGTGGTTAGCCATTTGAACAGCTCACTGTGGTTGACGTGGATTCTCCGTCACTGGTGGTTTTTTTTGAGACTAGATGTTTTACTGAAAGATATAATTACTGAAAGATTAAATTAGGAATTAGTTTAGGGATGTCTCATGCCACGTATAATACAACAGACCGGATCAAGAGATTACAGGAATCATCTCACTCTCACTTTAGGAACTTGTGGCATACAGTTTAGTTCAGATTGCCTTGGTGTTAGAGAAGGTTTGCGTTCTGCTTAGGGAAAAAAGATTGCGCGTGATAGAGTAGCAGTGTCCAAGAAGGCTGATCATGTGATCTCCAAGATCACCTTAGAGAGATGGATCAAATTGTAGTCTTCAGAGGCTTAAAGATGTACAAATGTGTCCCTTTGTTCGTTTAAATTAGCTCTCACTACATAAAACCTGGAGGAAAAGTAAAGATCTTCGTTCGTTAGTCTACCAGCTTGAAAGAACATTCATGTCTCTAGCAGATGTTACATTGTGAACATTTTTGTCTCAATTATTACTTGAACTTTTCAATCTGAGAAGAACCATTCAGGTCTGTGGTTTTGCTGACCCTTATGGCTGTATCGCTCTTCTCATGCTAGTTCATGCTCTTCTGAGGTGTCCAAATTATTCATGTTATTAGGAACTGGCTGGGAAGCTTGGATATCCCATGAACTGGGGATTATCAATTTAGTCTCTCAACCTCACGAAGATCTGTGTTTCTGCCTCAGTGCCAACTTTTCCTTCATTTCTTCTAATTCTGTCCAAAGTGTGTTAACCTTTCTGAAGTTCCAAAATGTAAAAATGGCCAAGTGGATGGCATAGCCATTTTGGTACACAGAACAGATCTTTAATGTGTTTGTTTCGTGTGGGATTCTACGTGCATGTTAGATCTCTTGGTCAGGTGCATCAGTTTGTGGCGGGAGGCTGCTGTATTTTGGATGATGTGGCAGAGAGGTTTCATGGTGCAAGGCTAAAGCCGGGAGGACCGTGCCTCTCGGGCCTGCCCTGCTGCAGTACAGCGTCCCTCTACAGCCCGCGTTTCCCTCCGGGGTGCCACGTGCCAGGCGTGTTCCATCAACAGATCAAAATCAGGCAGGAGAGGGCCGCAGTGCTTCACTGCAAACATGTGGTGGTGGGTGCAAGGCAAGGGAGCCGAGGCACGGCTAGCTGGGTCTCGTGCAGTCTGAATGCAGCAGAGGTTGCAGAAAAAAATTGCTTAAAGACTGGATTTTTTTTGAGGTATTTAGATAGCCAAGCTGCTGAAAACAGCACCTCTTTCTTATGGCCCTTTTTCCTCTGAAATAAAATTAAACCTGGAGCTTAGAGCTCAAGCTTTTAGGACCTTAAGTCTTATTGACATTGATGAGACTTACGGTCCCGAGTATGTTTGTAAATCCAGGCCCCTTCTAGAAATTCCCGTGTATGACTGCCTGATCTTCAGCATCCATGTACTCTGAAAAATACATCTCTCGGTGGCTTAGTTCCTGAAGTCCTAAGGCCTTTGGAAGTCCAGCAGCTATTCAGTACTTAGAACCTTTTCAGTGTCCCATACCTTCATAGGGACTAGTCAGTGTTCTTCCCCATCGGATTTTTTTTTCTTGGTTAAAATTTTATGCTAGGTATATAACCCCTGAGCCATCACATTTTTGAGAAATCCAACACAGAACAAAGTAGTGCTCCATTAGTAGGCTGTTCAACAGTTTAGTAAGCCTATTTTATTAGTATTGACCAAAAAATTCCCAGTATTAGTCATCATAGAATCCTAGTATTTACTCTGATTTTTCAAAGACTTGAAATAAAAACAACAAAAACCTGCTTGTAAATACATACTACCATGGGTTAGTAAAAAAAAAAAAAAAAAACCCACACCAAAACCCCAAACCACACACCAGCAGCACCAACAACAAATGCGAGCTGTGAGCCTTTGGGAAGAATGCATTTTTCCAAGGAAAAAAATATCCCTGGCTTCCATTAAGATTTCTCAAAATCATGTTTCAGCATTTCAGTTCCTCCCGCTGCCTCTTTTCGTTCGTCCTAGCAGTAGCCTATGCCTGACCTTAACATTTTGGATGAATTGTCAGACACAAGTACAGTCTTTTATATGGGATGGAGTTTAGTCTGTGCATGGTGAGATTTGTTGATGCAACAAAAATTACATTCAGTTGTAAAGCAGCTCAGTGTAAACAGCTATTGTGTATGTGCCTGTTCTGTTTACTAAAATTTGTCCCTAAATCTTTAAGCCTAAAACTGTACATATTTTGAAACATTCCGTTGTATGGAATCTCATATTTAACAGTTTCATGGGGTTGTTTCTTTGGAAGTAAAAGTGTTTCTCAAGAGCCTTTTTTTCTATCCGCTCCCAATGAAAAGAGGAGAGCAAAGCCATCCGCTTACCACAAAGCAGCGCCACCACAAAGGAAAGATTAAGGGTTTAGAGAGAGGTCAATGTGGGTTTTTCTCTAACTAAACACTTTCCTAAAGTTTCCTTGTGGAAAAAATAATGAAGTCATCTCAGAGTTTTTAAAGAATTTTTATTTCTTTTTCACCGTCTGCATTCGCTTGTCTTCTCAGCATGGATGTTTAATCTTTCTAGGCTTTGTGAATTGGTCCAAATGAATAAGTGGTGAGCTGTCTCTCTAGGAGCTAGAGGCTTATTCTAAGGCCCTAATCACTGAGTAAACACATCTTTGCCCTCCCTCTCTTACAACTGCTATATAATAGTCGAGATTCTAGCACAGTAACCTGGATATTGCAGGGATCGACGCTTTGAAATGCAGAATGGCTGATCCTCAAAAACAGACAGTGCCTGATCTTCCCCTGCCTCTTTCTTCTTTTTAAATTAAATATCACCACAGAAATGCTGTTTTATTGCTTGATATTGTGCATCAGTGCCCTGGATTTTCAAGTTTAGTTTCAGTCAACATTGTTGGCTGCACTTATATGGATCTCTGCATGTTGGGCTTATTAATGGCCCTTCCTGGCACATGTGTACGTGGTTCTGAAGAACATTTAAATTAAATTAGGCAAACATTAATGCAAATTGCTAATCCCTTTCCCAAAGTCTAATGTTCAAATGTATTCTTCTTTTTACAAACAGTCATTAAGTTTTATCCAAAGCCTGTATATGAGGTGATAGCCATACAGGTTTTTTACAAAGACAGCTTGTCTCAATATTGCATCCCATGTCTTGCTATACCAATACACATCAAATATGTAGTGTTCAATGTTACTTCTGATGAAGAGAATTGAAATGAATTTAAATAAAAGTCTGAAAATAGCACTTACCGTATTGTATCAGCAAATATGTTCAAGTAGGATTTTAAAATAAAGTAATGTATATGGGCACAGGGGAATGGAAAGTTGTAATTTTCTGAAAGGTATTTATAGTTCATTGAATACCAGATATAGGATCCTGGTCCTTAACTAGCTCATAGTTTCCCTATAGTTTTCTCAGTCTGCTTTATATCTTTACATACACACAGACTCACTTTCCAAAAGGTGGTCTGAGATTATCGTGGGGACACAACACGGCTTATATGCTGCTGACAGCGAAGCTCAGATATTATCTGATTGGGTTGCAGAAGAAAAAATCAGATTATTTTGTTTCAAGAGGCCACAAACACCATCTTCAGCGTGTAGTCTTCACTAACTTGGTAACTATGATGAGATATGTCAGTGCTCACAAACTCAGTGTGGGATTTGATCCATGTGTCCCGTACCACTTTGCTTGCATCTTAGACATTTGCAGCGCTGAGGCGGCTACCTTGCTCCTCAGCTCTGCAAGGGACGTAGCCAGCCGGGCTGACACGTGGCCTTTTGACCAGCTGCACATCGACATCTGAAGTAGGTGAGAGGCTGATGTGCTGTGGGGCTCCCCACATCGTACGGCTGGATGGAGAGCTGCCAAAACATCCAGCACGTCGCGTCGTAGGCTTTGGGACTGTACTCATTTTCTTCTTTTATTTGGCTACGGATGGGGTGACAACAATACACTGTCATTTTTTAAGATTCTTTATAATTGTATTTGGTTAGGATTGTAGATTCTGTGGTATCAAGAGGTGTGGTCCTCGTTCAGGGAATTGTCCCAATTGTTATTTTTATTGGGCAGCAAGCCAAAAAAAAATTCACTCATTTTTTTTAAACTCAGTCTGTTAAGAAGGTTTTTGATTTTGCATTCAAATGTTGCTATTTTCATGTTCTAAGGATATGATGTGTCGTGCTTTGGTACCCAAAATAAAATTGTTAGGAACCATTGAGAAGAGCTACAGATTTGGAGGGATGGAGCATTTGACTTGAAATCTGTTGGGGTTTTTTGACCCTGCGTGTGCATGTCGAGATAGTCGGCGCCCTCGATAAACACCATTCAGCATACTAACACACAAGCCTGCAGCAAAAAAAACAATCTGAGGAGGTTTTCACTGATCTTTTCTCATGTCTTTTCAGAGAAAGCTTCTTGCTATCTACCTTCACCACGATGAAAGTGTACTAACCAACGTCTTCTGCTCACAAATGCTTTGTGCTGAATCTATTGTCTCCTATCTGAGTCAGAACTTCATCACCTGGGCATGGGACATGACAAAAGAAGCAAACAGAGCAAGGTAAGACGCTTTGGACTGTGAGTGGAGCAGCTTTTCTCTCAGGGAAGACCCTTATCTCTGTGCCATCTCTGTGTATCAAATCTTTTGTTGCTAGGTATCTATTTGAACTAAAAACTTCATGCTCATTCTTAGGTGATCAGTGAAGCTGTGCTGGCTGAGGGTCAGTGGGAATTGGACCATCCTTGTTTTCATTACAAAGTGACTCTTATTCATGTGCAGGAAAAAAATAGTTAAAGAAATTGTTTCCTTCATTTTATTCCTTTTTTTTTGAGTTTATTTTGCAAACATAGTTCTAGGAATGTGTCTTCACAGTTTTGCATTGCAGTGCCGTGATATTATATGACACTAACTGTATGTACATAGGTGTAACTGCATGAGAACCGTCAGGAAAATAACTGCTGTAGTTAATGAAAAATCTTATTTAAAAAATAATATTCATATGATTAATATTTAAAACAGATTATGCAAAAAATTAGAAGTTTGCAATTCATAGGAACTTTTTTGAACTACAGGTGTCTTACAGAACATTCCTTTGGTAATGTTCAGATATTTTGGTAGGTTTTAGTATAATAAAAGCTATTCTATGTCTTAGAGGGGCCATTGTTTTGCTGATGAGTAAAGAAATAAAAAAACCTGTAGATTCCACCACTTCCTACATCTTTTGTGTCTTACCAACAAATTTTCTTATCTTTATATTAACACCTGTTTCTTCTTTAGTTATTTATCAGTTGATCATAATCTATTGAAAATAATGGTTCTATGATTATACTTACTATATTTAGAAATCAGACTTACTTGGTTTTCTAACTTGGACCTTATTTCACCACCTTTATTTATACAGAAGACAACTGCTTGCCAGGATAACGTCTTACGTATATTGCTATAATGAGAGCTATTCTAACTTTTGAACAGAAGATGCAACAGTCATTTGCTCTGGGATAAGGTTGCCACCTTTTTACACAATTCCATTGGTTATTGAACAATTGCAAGTACATATAAATACGTGTTTCCCTTTTGGATTGCTAGAAATTTTTATATCTTTATAGAGCATTCATGCATTGCTATTCTTAAATACATAAGTTATAGTTAATATTTCTTTACTGAAAGTGGGCATGGAGAACAGAACAATCTCTTTTTCTAATGCACTTTAAAAATAACACTTGTTTTTTATAGGAATTCCTCACTCAACCCTCTGCATTCCATCTTTGGACGAATCAGCAGCTATGCTCCTAGTTTAAATTATTCTAGGGAAAAGCTAAAGATTATGGAAAAAAGCAGTTGCAAAAACAGATAATAAAAAGTTTTTAGAAAAAAGAGAGAGAGGGGAAAAAGAAACATTTAGGTTCTTTCATGGGACCAAATACATAGACTGGAAAGTTGCTTAAGTCTTTTGGTATTGCCATTCATGGGCAGTAAGGAGCCTCCTCCTTTTCTTTTATCCCACAACTTGGTGTAGAAGGAAACACTATTTCTAAACCATCTGTAGTGGCTAAGTTCAGTTGACTACCTGCTGTTCTATTGTTTGCTTTTCTATTTAATTCTCTAGTTTCTTTTATTTTACAATGACAAAAAATTGCAGTGTAGTTTCTTTTGAAAAACTGTGTTTGAGGGGTTTTTTATGACTGACGATCAACAGCCATGTAATTGCTTTGTTGTGTTTTACTAAAGAAATCTATTAAGTAGCACAACTTTGATACACTAGTAATAAGAGTTTGCAGGTTACAGAGACACCTGTGGTGACCAAAGCGACAGAAGCTGCTTATTAGAAAGAGCCCGTACAGCTGTGTCCTATTAACTCCTTATGACACTTCTTAAAACACAAAATAAAGGGCTTGTTTAAGGCTTTATAGCTATTCTCAATGAACCTAGTCACCGATTGTGCGGTACGATAGGGGTTTTAAGCCTTCATTTTTTTTGCTTTCTGTTAACGACGACAAAGAAACTGTCATATTAACAGTGAGGTCGAAAAATAGTAAGGGGTAAACAAGGCATGCTGGCTGGAATTAGAATAATTTCTCAGTTGTGTTTAGTGTCACCTCCTGCTCCTTAGACTGTGATTTCTTCAGAGGGGGCATGATGCTTCCGTCTCCCTTTGGAAAGTGCCAGTGCACTGTAGGCATTCCCGTAAATAAATACTCAGTACCTCTGTTTAATTACTACACTTCGTTATGTGACGCGGCAGCGGTGGTCTTGGAGCCTATTCTGTTCTGTTTCCCTAAAAACAGTTGCAAGTAGCTTTTTATTTGAACGGTGAGAAGACAACAGCAAGAACAAGAGAAGGAACTGCTTTTTGCGTGCTGGCATAACCCAAGAGCAACTTATTTGTGCTGTTACAATTGCATTAGTGGAAAAGGCAGTGTGGGAAGGGAGAGGAATCGGGCCCACTTTGTTTGCAGCGATCAATAGGGACACCTCAATGTCAGCAGTAAAAGAAAAAGAAAAAGATTTTCAGTACTGTAGCATGGCGTGAATGATTTCAAACAGATATATGTGCTTTCTCATATAAGCAAAAAAATGTTGAATATTCTGATTTTCTTCTTGCTTTTTGTTGTTGTCTTTCTGACATCTACGGATGTCAGTCTGTTCCAAAACCAGCCTTCATAGTAGTTTCCGTCCTCATTAATGAAATGGGAGTCCACTGTAGAACAAAAACAGCTCCAAAATCTGGTCATTTTTCCTGATTTTTAAAATGTTTCTTGCCCGACAGTGATGTAGAGACGTGCTTTGAATCCTGCATTACTCTACACGAGTGTTTTTCAGCTGGATTCTCCCAATCTTGTTCTTCGACACCCATTGCAGCAGAGTGAAGAGGGTTTTATAGGTAGGACTAGAAGTAAAACACTGTATGTAAGCGCCAGGTAGTGCAAAAGCATAAGCATTATGACTTTCGTAGTCAGATTTTTAAAAATCTGACTAACTGCAGCCACCCAGGACTGTTACTTTGTCAAACTGAAGGGGAATTCTTAACTGTCAATACAGTTAAGAGGATGTTTTGGTTTGGCTTTCACATGTTTTAATTGACATAAGGTTTGTAGGAAAGGGAGCAAATACTTTGAGTAAGTGCTGCAAATTATGAATCTTTTCATTACTAGAATAAAAAAATCATAACAAAAGGCACAAGGTTATATAATAAAATAATTAGCCGTTATTTAGGAAAAGGTGTTTTTTATAATAGTGTTAAGGAATTTATGCGAAAGCTGTATCACCTACAGTTTAGACTTTAGTGAGCAACTGTTTGGAATATTCTTGTAATTTGTGTTGTCCATGGTCAAAGGAGGAAAAAAACCCTTACAAACCACAGGTATATCTTTTACTTTCTTGTTATATTCCACTCAATTTGGGGTGAATCATGAGCTGAAAAATCACTGTTTGCTTTCCATTGCTTCCTATGGAGATTTGCTACCATGCCGCTCCAAACAGCAGAAGTACGCTTACGGGAGGTGTCGGGGCAGTAGCAGTGTTTGAGAGCAGTGGTGTTGACAATCCTGGCCCTACCTTTTGGTCCGAGCCCGCGGCTGCAGCAGCTCACCGGCTGCGTCGGGCCATCGTGCGGGCTGAGTGATTCCTCAGGTTTGTAGAGAGGTTGTGGGATAGATAAGCAGGAGAGCAGCTATAGTTCTGGCACTTTCTGACTTCAGAGAGCTGACTAAATACCGTTATTCTAATATAATTATGTGTGTGTGTATGGGAGGTATATGTATGTGTATGTATATGTATGCAAGCACATGCCTAACTATTTCTGTGGATTCATTAATGTATATTAATACAGTATATTTGTATCCATGACAGATATATAGTGAATATATATATGCATACATATATACCTACACATGCACACATACCCTTAAGTTTGTACACACAGCATTTGCAAACATAAATTATGCGTAATATTAACAGAGTTCCAATGTACATAATGTTTGCCAAGCAAAGCAATGCCAAAACCATAAAATAGTGACTCGAATGTCTGCAGCAGCCTTTTAGCTTTTGATATCGTTGCCCTTGGGCGCTGTATTTCAAGGTGTTACCAACATTTCTCAGCCCTGATGACAGGTACTTGTTAGTTTTAATGTTCAAATGATAGTTTTTCACTTAAGCTTAGGAAAGAGTTAATTGACTAAAGCACTTCTCAGCAGCAGGTTGTCTTCACCTGCAATTTCCGTCATCAAGTAATTAGCCATATTCACAGTTGCTGACCCTTAATACTAACCTACTGAATGATGCATGCCTGGATGAAGACCAGTTGACCATAGTACTCCAGCTCCCCAATCCTATTTGATCCTTCAGCAAATATATTGCAGGTGTGGGGTCTGGCAGTGCTGGACTTGGTGAGTTAATTTCTCACCGCCTCTTCAGGAGTGACCGTAGATTCTGTATACGTTGCTTGCAAAACTGTTGGATGTGTTCTTTAGGCACTAAATCCTTAACAGGTTTCACAGAACAGTGTGAAAACCTTATCTATTGTATTTTGCAATATTTTATTTAATTTACTTTAATAGCAATACAGTGCCAGACAATAAAAACAGGTCAAAAGTCTAATTAATGTTTTAAAAATAAAGGTTCTCAAACACCAGGCAAGTTTGTCATTTTCTGTATGGTTTGTTTTGAGGAGGAAGAGGAAAGAAGGTGAGGAGGGAACCCTTCTGTTCCATGATTACATCCAACCCGCTCATTTTCTCCTTTTCTCCTTTGCTTTTGATTTTAGTGGCGGTCTTAACAGAATGTCAAGATCAATTTGCAGCATGGTTTAACTCAAGGTTTGCATTCTGCCAGCAGTGATTGTCCTAACGAACAATGCCGTGTGTTCTTGTAACTTCAGAAGCTTTTAGAAGGCTCATGGCAAGGGCAGCATCTAATGACTTTATTAGTGTAGGGTTTCAAAATGGGCTCAGTAATTGTTCGCATCTCTTTGTCATCTAGTCATAATTACTGCATAGTATTGTTAGGGGTTGCACTTGTGAATAGTTTCCTAATGGCACTGAAATGAAGAAAAAAGGAAAAGG